GCCCCAAACTGTTTATTACAAGGAAAAAAGGAAAACAAAACAAACAAACAAACAAGATTAATTATCATTCATTTCCAGATACACTTTGGCCCATGCTTAATGAATCCAGAAGACCTCATGCGGGCTTGTAAATCAGGAAAGAAGTAGAGAAGTCATGACTACTATGTGTACAGGAAATGGGGGGCAGGGAGAAACCCTTACAATTTCAGGAAAGACTTTTGGGGACCCAGCAAAACTGCTCTGAAGCTACTGATGCAACTTCTGGGCTGGAACAATTTGCTGCTCTTCCAGCAGGCAGGAAGGTGTTCATATGGGGTTACCTTCAGAGAGGAATCAGTGGCCTCCTCTGGGATCTCTCAATATTTCTCAGTTCTGGCCTTTGAATTGCAGTCATCTCTTTCACTTTTTGCTTGGACAGAGCAGGGGCCAGCTTTCACAGACAGTTTAATACACGCATGGAGCATACAGAAGCACTTACACTTTGCACAAGACTCTATGCAGACCTTTAATCAATCGCAGCTGAAAGTAAGGATATTGTGTTCTAGCAGAGTGAAAAAATGGATTGCTGCTTGTGGTATGAACCACTTCTGACCTCCAAGCAAATTTTTCCACAACCAAGAGCCAATAGATCTGAATCATTTAGTCTATAACGTCAAGTGGGTGGGAGCTGTTTTATATCACAGATAGAAGAAAGAAGTGAGTGTTTAAACTGTTTAAAGATGTATTATGTTATCTGAAGTTTTCAGTAAAATTGCCAGATCAGATAACAGAGGTTATCTGTGTTGAGGTACTTCTTGCAAGATACTACATCAAACTGATCAGTTGATTATTATTGCCAGGAATTCATAATCTCTATTTGTAGATGACTGGTTTATTAAATCTCTGCAGACAATTGTTTTGTCATATACTCAAACTAGATTGAATTCTTTCCTCCTATCGTTAGGAGGAAAGTAACTATAAGCTTAATTTATACAAAGCACTTCTATACTGATTTTTCTGGCTTGCAATTTTTTGCAGATTGAGGAGAGGATGTTAGGTCTGTCTGAATTTAAGTCCAGAATAAGAATCATGAACAGCTTGCCCTTACTTCCAAAAATCAAAAAAAAGAAAGTACAGTTCTTGACTAGGAACCTTTTGAAGCTCGCAAGACAAAAGTATTATCCAAACAGATCTGTCAAAGGAGCTAATGACACTAAGAAACACTTCTAACACAATACATTTTTCCCAGAAAGGCTGAGAAGTAAACACCTCCTCTAGCATATCACCTTCCTTAAACTTCAAAGACTGCTCTTAACTTTGCCTAACTGTAGACAGAGATCATACGTATGTTAATAGCAGACATGCTCAGAGAAGTACTTAAAACAGTCAAGATTTTTTTCCAACAGGTGCAAGTTGGGCACAGCTGAAGAGAACAACAAAATCTCTGCTGCTTCTTCAGAGTATTGCTTAGATGATACTACATCTCTTCCTGATGGTCCCACATCTCTTCCCGAACATCCTGAAATAGAAAACAGCTTATCTAATCTGTCCTCAGAAATGACCTGTCTTGACCTAGTAACCTCTTCACATTGAGGATTTGGGAAATTCATCAACCAAGTGGTGTTTCTTTTTATAAACTTCTAAAGCTGCTCTTCTCACTTCAGATTTTATTAATTTTTAAAAAATCAATTCCTTAATAATTCCTAGAAAAAAGTTAAATAAATAATTAATTTGTTGTTTTCCTGAGAAAACATCTTTGGCATTTACTGAATATGTTATTTGGGTCAGAAGAGAATGGAATTCTGCTCTCACAAGTATCCTGTTTATCCAAAAGCTTCAGATAATGACCATTTTCTATGTTTAAAGTACAATCATAGTTCAAAAACTTTGAGTAGCACATATTTGAAGGCTCAAAAAGCACTCAAGGGAAAAATCACTACATGCCTTGTTCTTATATTCCTCCCTAGGCATCCACTTTTGGTCCCTTTTTGGAGGGGCTACATAGATAGACCTTTGACCTGATTCAGTACACTCTTGTGTCTTCTGCAAGAGTACTAAACTTCCTTATTAAAAAACCCTCAAAATCTAACCAGTTTTATAGAAATTTCCTGGCCTAAGGAAAATGTAACTGTTACTTATTAAAAAAAAAAATTCAAAGAGGCACCACTGCATGAGTAGTCTACCCATGAGCCTACAGAGACCAGAAGTGCTGTAGTTTTATCTGAGCAAGCTGTAAAATGGATTAATGCAGACAACAAATCCCAGTGCTATTACTTAGAAATTTGTGACAATTTGTTTTAAGAAGCCAAGAAACAAGAGAATTGAAAACAAGGCTGCAAGTTCTTACAGAGCTACGGTTTGCTTATTTCCAGCAGATCTGCCAATAACCAGCTACAAAAGTCACATTTTGCCACTTAAAAACAGAGAAAGGAAAGGCTGTTGCTCAGAAAGGTATTATTCTACCTATGTCACTTGTTTCACTTTTCTGAGAGCAGCAGCAAATGAGGCTATGAGATGCATGTTTATAAATATTTGTGTATATATACATACATGCATATATAAATGTCAGCCTTATGGATCTACAAAAATATAATGGTGGTGTTTAAATACCACAGGTGAAGGACATGAGAGGCCGACACTAAATACTTTAAAACAAAGTAGAAGCATTAATTTGTATACTTTGTATTGCCTTTCATTTTTCTAGCTCTTCCAAACAGCAGTTTTGTGAATTGAAACTCTGATTTTTAAGACAAGATTACTCTTCCTCCTGCATACATGCCTCCTAGGGAGAGAAAAACCCCCAAGGATTAGCAAAACATTCAGAAAATGGTGAATATTCCTTTTCTTTCTCTTTCAAAGTACTTCTGTATCATAAAGACTGATTTTCCACATCTAAGAGACAATAAAAATATCTGGGAAGGTTTTCCAAACTCTGTTTCCTTGAATTCTGTTAGTAGCCAGAAGATATCTCTGAATGTTAGTGCTTCCCTCTTATCTACTTCCAAAAATATTTTATCATTTTATAACACTGGTTACAATATAGCAAGTCTAACACACGATGCAGTAAATTATCTAGTGAGTTCATTACCATTTCAGCCTACACCTGTATCAAACGGGGACACTCAGAATGGCATGCGAAATCAAATGGTCCATATTACCAATTGCTGTTTGAAAGCTGCAAGTTGCGAGATGATCAACCATTGGTTAAGTCAACAGAACGTGTTTTAAATACTTAATCATTTAATGTTATTAAAATAATTTCATATTTGCATACAGAATGTCAGATGGCATATTATTTACAAAGTAGCTCAATGTCATATAAAATTGTTTACATTCAGTAGAGAAACTTAATATTCTGTCTAAATAAAAAGAAATCAAACCTGTTCTCTTTATACAAACTCTATTTCTTAAACAGCCAGAGCATTTTTCATCTCTTACTCCTCACTGTCCTTTATTGTCAGCTATGACACCCTCCATACAAGGAAACCACCACCTTTGCTTCTGCAAACTGTTTTGATTTTACAGTTAGGAAAAGACCAGCATTGATGTGAACACTGTTAAACATTACTGCCTTTTACATATATATATAAAATTCAATTTTTTACCTTATCGAAATAAACTTAACCTTGGTTAATCTGTTACTGAGCTTCCATACTTGGCCTCTTCAACTTTCATTTGTTACAATTTCAGGCTTGGGTATATTATGATTAAGTTTATAGAATATGTGAACTGTTGGAAAACAGAAATATTTGAACAAAGTAGGGGTTGCACAGAATTTGCTTTCAAAGAATTTTGGCAAGAATGAGTGAATGACATTTTTCAGTGAAAATAACTCTATTTCTTGACTTACTACTCAAACTTGATTTTACGAAAAAACCTAAAATTACACACATGAAATCAATGGGCATTACTGAAGTAACACAAAATATTTATGCTTTGAAAATTATCTTCTTTTAAAAATAAGTTAGAATTATATTTGACATACAAGAATTACTTTAGTAACAGTGGCAGATCTTTATTTTACACATTCTTCCACTTTCCTGAAGACAAAGTACCGCTCATGTAAAAATAAGGCTAGTAAAAAATTGAGAGAAACATTTAGTCAATATTTCAGTCTATAAAGTTTATGTAGAAGGATAATAAACAAAATTATTTTCAAGAAACTCAGGATAAACAGAATACCACAAGTTCTCTCAAGGAGCTGACAGAATGCAAGCAAGCGCTTCTAATTGCTATAGGAACTGGAGTAAGAACTGAACAAGTCCACTAAATTAACATATATCATGTAAAATATGGTAGACATAACAGTATTTTTCCACTTCCAAAATATCAATGCAAAAGGGTATCACCTCCTCTGTCCAAATTACAAATGTTAAATGAACAGCTATTATGGAGAGCAACAGAATACATTAATAGCATGAGTGTGCTTATTCCCATAAGCTCTAAGCACATTTAGCTCACATTAGCACTGTGTCACTGCTCTTAGGTTTACCAATTTACACTCGTACTCAATGTTTTTACTGTTGTGGTCCAGTGGTCTGGAAGCTGAAAACATACATTAATGATATCCAAAAGTAAAGATGGCCTTTCACTGGTATACTATTATGTTTCAAAACTAGCATTTGAAATTAAGATATAGAAGCTTACATACACTTATATGCAATCCTTAGATCACTATAAATCCAAATCAGAGAAGTAAAACTATAAGCTCGTGTGTGTATGGAACAGAATACACTGTTATTTGAAGAATAACCATTTCTTGAGGTCTTACATGAAGATACCAATTAAAACCCACTAATTTCATATCCAGTGTCCACAACTGCTCTGTCTCAACTACATTTCATGTGTGTAATACATACCCTGTAGTACCTGTACCACATGTAGTAGTACATAA